CTGTCCTTTATTTTGAAATTAAGTTTTTTGTATGTTTTTAGATGTCTTTTACGAAATGATGTTGCAAAAAGATGGTATTTTTAATGTCCTTATTTGGCAAAATAAAAGCTGGTAATCTCTATAAAATATCCAAATAACTGGAAGTTTTTACTCTGTGTAAAACCTGAAGTTATGAAGACAAATACTGGTCATCTGAGGACAAGGATCTGTCCCTGGTGCATGTGAAGTCAACCCCCACATTTCTGGAAGTTTGTATTTATCATAACTCGTTCCAATAGGAGCAATGTTTACTCCTATCCCACTCAAGGGAGGGCTAGGAATTTTCCTCAGCGTTCCTTACATCTGTCCTATTTTTCAGTTCTTCTAAAATTGCTTTCTGAAAAAAAAATAATAAAATTCCTTTCTGCTAGTTGTTAAACGTGAACAAAAAAAAATGACTGGGCTATCATGCCAACCTATCTCACAGAAGACTGTAAGAGAGTAAGAAGGCAGAAGGACATAACAAGGTACTTTAGAACCCCTAGGATGGTACAATGAGAGTGTGTATAAGAAAAATGATTTGGACAGAGAGAACACAACCAAGACAAGTGAAAATATAAAACGATACACAGCCTCTAGTGACGAATTCCATTGCTCAGTTTGAATTGTGAGCTGGTGAGATGGAATGCAAAGTGGAAAAAGTTTTTCCACAAAAACAAAATGGGATTGGGTTCCAAGACAGCCTAGATTGGCCATTAACCTAGATTAACCAACAAGTACACTTAACTTGGAATTCAGAAACCTCTCCCCCACCCAACTCACGTGGCTAAATTTGGGGAGAAGAAGGAAGCAGCTAGACGCTCTTACAGGATATTAATTTGTTAAATTTACTTTGTAAACAAACCCAGCAATTCCTCCTACCATTCTGATGCTGACCTAACAGAAAACATCCTAAACTGCCCACTTCCTGCTATTCCAAATCAAGGAAACAAAGGGAAGTTACTCCTCCCAAGGGAACATGCAAGGGTCCCAGATTCAGTTCTTCCAAGTTGGCTCCCATTTGAAAATGAGTCATGGTCAGTTTTGCATCTTTTTTTGTGGCAAAACATACATTATATAAAATGTACCATTTTTTGCCATTTTTAGGTGCACAGTTCCGTGGCATTAAGTACATTCATGCTGTGCAACCCAAATTCTGCAACTTATATGGGCCCCTCCAAGGATTCCGCAGACTGTGTGTTTTCATTTGCACGAGAATATATTTTTGCTCCACACTCCCCAATCTTCCCATTTTCTAGTGCTCGTTCATAACGTAAGACTGTTTTCGTACCTTGAAGTGAAGTCGCTCAGTCTTGTCTGACTCTTTGCGACCCCATGGACACCAGGCTCCTCTGTCCATGGGATTTTCTAGGATGAGTACTGGAATGGGTTGCCATTTCCTTCTCCAAGGAATCTTCCCGACCCAGGGATTGAAACCAAGGCCTCCCAGATTGTAGACAGATGCTTTACCGTCTGAGGCACCAGGGAAGACTACCAGTGAATACCACTGTAACTCAGGTGCCAAATTAAACTTATTAAATCATCCTGAAGACCAAGTTAAGGTTCAGGTCCTGAGCATTCAACTTGGCAAGCCAGTTACGAAAGCAACTATTGCATCTGCCTGTATTCTACTGGAATGAAAACTTTTAATCCCTTCTTTTCTGCAGACTTTTTAACATATATATTAACAACTTAAATATTGCTGACACGTAGAAATGATACATTTAAGGTGTACAACTTAATGATTTCATATATATATATATATATATATACACACATATGTGTGTGTGTAAATATAGTGTGTAACACACGTGTGTGTGAATATAGTGAAAAAAATCACCACCAGGCTAACATATCAATCACCTCTATATAGTTAGTCTTGTGACCAATCTTGCTGATTTAAGGTCTCTTCTCCTAGTGTATTCCAAGTATGTCTTTACCCAATAGAAAATACTCAACTAGGGAGGAACTCTTCATTTACGTCACCATGGTCACTATGGTTTTATCAAGAACCACATAAGGGAGGGTCAAAAGGTAAAAAGAAGAAGAAGAAAAAAAAAAGAACCACATAAAATTAAAAATACTTTGCTGCAACAACTAAAATTCAATTAATTTTCACAGTAGATACACAGCATCTGTCAATAGATACAAAGCATAATAGCTTTTGCTTCATCAATAGATACAAAAGATAATAGCTTTTACATCAATCTGCTACATACAGCTTATCCTTGCAACAAGCAACTTTCCACTATCCTTGCTACTTATTAATTTTTCAAGACAGGCATTTGAGTGTACCTAGCACTTTCACACACTATCACAAGGCAATCAATATGTCGAAATGTATTTAATGACAAAATTGCACTTGACCACTATAACTACTCATTTTTTTTAAGGCTTACACATGTAAGAACACCAGTTGTGTCAAAGGAAACTATCAATTTCCTCCATGAACTTGTCAGCTGGTTTATTAATAAAGGGATACATTATTTTTTAAATGAGAAAACACAGGGGTCTCAAGTTCCATTCTTGTCTCCTATAGCTAAGCTGCACCAGAAAAGGGGGTCTCTTTTGCCCACACATTCAGTACAATGGCCAGATTACCATGAGCACTCAAGAAATACTGACTGGAGACTATCTTCATCGTACTGATTCATTTACCTCCCAAGTTTAATGCAGGGGAAGCATACCTGGATGATCCTAAGAATACGGCTTTTAGGATAATTATAGCACACACAGAAGAAACCCCAAATGAAGAGCCCCCGGGAGCTCCGGAATGGCGAGCTCTGCTAAACAAACATACTGATCATTTTTAAGGCTGGTTATATTTAAGATAATTTGCACTGCAGTTCATTTCACAGAAATTACTTCCTAGCTTCAGGAATCCCTTGTGAAATCAGTTACCAGCACTACAAATTTAAATTTCTTATATTTAAGCAGACAAATAAATAATGAACTAATCACTGAACTATCATGTCTTCACACAGACCTGTATCGAACCAGACTTGCTTATCTCACAGGCTGCCAATTATTTTACAAAAAATTAACACATGCTCCATTAGGAAATAACAGAGAGTTCTGTTACAGAATTAAGATATAGAGCAGAGGATTAAATTAGGAAGCTGGCCATTCATGTGACAGAAGATTTAAAATGAATAGTAGGAGTTAAAAGAGTCTCAAGAAAACTAAATGGTAGGGCTCAGTTAACCTGATGAACAAACAGGCCAGCTTGGTGGGAGAAACCCATGGCATTGAGTAGTATCTGCTTCCCCTGAACCTTCTCAAGCCTAAAGTTTTCATACCTATTCTTGCATTAGAATGTATAACATTCCTCACAGCCAAGTAAAGGCACAGACCATCTTGTCAAATTTTAGTTAGAAGTGCTAGGCCGGGTCAAGGTCACCCTGTTAGTGAGGTCTGTGGACACTCTTCAGCATCACGGTCCTGGGCATTAAGTGAACACTGACTTACGATAAAGCCCCAGCCACCACAGCCATGGCTCAGAGCAGCCTTCCCAGAGATCCTGGCCTGAGTCAATCCATCACCATCACAATCAGCCATCGGGGCAAGGTGCCTGCTGTGGACCAAGCGCTGAGCTCAAAACCATGGGTAGTATGTAGTTTAATCTTGACAATTCTTTGAGTTAGGTACTGTCACTCTCACTAATGAGGCTTAGAAAACTTGCCAAACTCACTCAGTATGTTACAGAGCTTAGATATGAACCCAGAGTTTGACTCAAGTGCCCAGTTCTTAACTACTACACAATTCTGTCTTCCCATCCACTGAAGGTGATACCTAAGCCACTCTGAGAAATGGAAAAAGCACTGGTCAGAAAAGTCAACAGATTTTAACGTTTCCATGAACTCACACTTGCAATGCTTATCAACCCAAGTCTTCATTTCCTCATCTAGAAAAAGTTCCACTAAAGCCTCTCTCCACACATAGGTTGTTGTATAAGGTAAAATAACTTAGTGAAATTATGAGATAATTAATTCAAATCGATAGTCCTGTAACTCTCTGTAACTCTCAAATGAGGATCACACCTCTAGGTTCATATAATGGCCATGTAATTGAGTTAGGATGAAGTCTAAGATCACCACAAAAGGCTTCTAGTCCACTGTCCTCTAGGAGAGGTGGGGTACCTGTGGGCCCTTCCCAATTCTGATTCCTCCTTTCATGGGGCATCAGTCTGAAGGAGATCTGTTGTATAGACAGATGACTCCAACGTGCCCTCTGACTGAGGACTCACCTTACTACTGAACTCTAAAACACACAAACTTAGGAGTTAAGATATTCAATCTGAAATCCTTCCTCAAATATTTACTGACCATTATACCTAGGGCAGCCAGGTATTTACGTTCTACAAACTTAGCTGCCTTGCACATAGTATCTATTCAGTAACCCTTGAACAGAGTAAAGAGTAGCTATTCCAAAGCTCTGTTAGTTCGGTAACTATTACTAATCATGAGCCCAATTTGCTTCTCTGAATCTATTATTCTATTATTAACTTGTAAAGTGAGACAGAGTAAGTTCACTTCCTACTGAACAGAACTGAAACTTAGTTCACTCCTAATGGCACTGTGAGAATGTAAACGTTAGGCAAACCACCTAAAAAAGGAAAAAAAAAAACACATCATTTTCCAATCAAACTACTAAAGAATCGATAATACAAAAAGGATTGCATTTCAATAGAACTAGCTTTATTATTTTTTTTTTTAAACAAAAGAAATGTCTAAAAGCAAATACAGGTATGTACCAAGGGGTGGACGTGACCTGGTACTTACAAAGGACTTGCTCTGTCATAAATGAAAACAGCATGTTAGGAGAAAAATAATTTTCAGGTGCTGTCTGCTTGAAAAATCTGGAGATGCAAGTTAACTGAAGGAAGGTGATTGGCCAAGCAAACAGTGTGAGCCCAGGGAAAAAGAAAAAACCACCAGAAGTTGCTTCCAGACAACTACGTAGTAGCAGCGTGAGAACTGGCATCAACTCACAGTCTTCTCATTTTCCCCATTTTCTATAATTTTCCTCTTCTTCTCATCTGTTTTTTTCTTGAAGATGTTATTTCGGTAAAACTGAAGTTCTTTGATGCTTTCGCTAATGTCATCAAGTGCCCTACAAGCAAACACACCACGCTGAGTTGAAATGTCCAAAAGTCAGAGGAGATGATGACCATTCTTCAAAGGTGTAACTTTTTATAAATAACTTAAGAACAATCGGTACTACTGTAAACGCAACTATCTGATATCTACAAGAAGTGGAACGCTTCAGTAAAACAAATTTAAGTGCTTTTTTTTTTTAAAAAACTGTTTGATTTCAAAAAAAGATGTCTAAAATTTAACAGATAAAGTTTTCCCAAACTGCTCCATAAGACAGTGAAGTGTTCTGCCGGGGGCCGGCGGGGGGGGGGGGGGGGGGTAGCTCCAGGGTCAAATAATTTAGGGGAAACTAGATTAAACAATTCCTCTTTTGAAGTTTTTGTAAAGTATTTAATGTACTGATGTGTATTTTGAATTCCCCAGAGGAGGCTGTATGGTAGACACGATATTTCTAAAACTTAAATCAACCACACTTGTGGGATTCCCAGCACATGGCATATAGTTTGGGAGACACTGTGCAATACTTAATGACGTCCTGCACAAAATATATTCACATACTCAAGCATAACTGGTGACTCAGCCATCATAATAAACACCCATGAACAGACAGCACCTAACCACAGAGGACCTCCCTCCTCTCAAGGTGATCTGTGCTATCATTAGGGGCCGCCTGCCTCCTCCTAACAGCCTTCTTTCTTCTCTAACATGCTGTTTCTCATGTGTTGCAGTCTGAGAAACCAGGTACCCAAGATTATTAGAACAGCGGGCAAGTAAATCAATTTGCTCTGAAGATGGGCCAAGGGCCCACTCCTAGAGATCAAACTGCACAAACTTTAGTGCGAGAGTTTTATGAGTTACTTTCGTGATTAGGGCAACAGTTTTGCTTTCTTTCCAGGTCTTAGGTATATGGTGGACAGCTGAAGCTGTCAAAAATACAGCCTCTGGTTAAATCACAGGACACCACATCTTAGCCACAGTAATGAAATTTAAAAAGAGCTGAAAACCCAAAGTCCTTCTATAGCCCACTTTGTGGCCAAACCTGGCCACTTGATGTGAGGCTGTCACTGGTTATGCCACATGGTGTGAATATCTGTACATTTCACTGTAGAAGCAGCCACGTGTTTGAAGATGAGTGCTTCCCCAGACCTCGTTAGGGCTATTACTCCCCTTCTAAAGCCTGAAAAAGTCTGAAATCCAAAACACCTTGAGCCCCAGCTGTTCCTCATGAGGTATTCCAGACCTGTATTATTGTGCTGTAGTCCACGAAAGCCCAATAAAAAAAAACATATCAGAATGCCAGGCTCTTTAGAACAAGGACTCGGTCTTCCTGTTTGGCTAGAAGTGTGCCTGGCACACAGTAGGGACTCAGTATATGGAGGAAACAAACGCTGCCCTTAGAAGCCAGCTGCTGCATCTCCCATCACGTCTTATGTCCTTCCTGAAAGGCCACAATGCCAACAAGTAAAACAGGACTCCAGATACACAAGATCTTTAAATTCCCTGTGTACTTGGGCCCAAGGTTGCAGACACAAAAAGAAAAGAATCTGAAAAACTAAGAAGTGTCAAAATCAGGCTAACTGCCTTGTACAACTGTACACAAAGTGCTCAAATTTTAAATAGTTACAAGCCCATACGCTTGCTGGGAAGAAAATTATAGTGCTCACTACTAGAAAAATTACACCATTTCACATACGTTCCAGACTAAGTTATCCACAAGTTTCAAAGCAGCAATAAAGATGTTAAGATCATACATTATCTCATAAGGGAATGTTAGAAAACTGAAGAGAATTCCTGATAATCTTAGCAAAAGAAAGTTATCTCTATGTAGTTGTCCTTTACTTTTCCCCCAAGGGATAAGTGACATTATTTCAAACAGTCAGGAATTCAGGGGTTATGTATGTGTCAGATGGCCAAACACTTAAAAGGACCCAAACTTACCTGTGAGAAGCAGCCTTCTTTGGTGCAAATTCGTATTCTTCAGGATACCAGCGTCTATACACAGCAAAAATGCAACTCTCAAAGGAAACTGTCTCAAATGCACTGAATAATTATATCCTTCAAGTGATGTAATAACACTGAAAAGGCCTTTGGGTTGTGACTATGGAGTTGCCACCTTGTCTGGGACTCCATCTCCCTCCTTCACCTCTCTTCATTCTATAGGTTCTTTTCAGGCAAGATCACTATGTAAAATTCCCAAACTGTGCACTCCAGCCCTGCCCTCTCCCTTGCTTCTGTCACGGGTATTCAGGACAACTCCACCTAAAATCCACCAGGCATCTCCAACCCACCACACACAGGGTCACTCACCATCCTCAACACCTCCCTTCCCCCAGCAGCCAAATCTACTCTTCCTCTTACGTTCCCCTTTGTCTTTGAACAGTTCCATCACCCACCAAGCTGCCCAAACTAGAAACACTTTATACCTCCTCCCTGTCTTCACGCCCCCATTCAAGCACTCAAGGCCCTGCTACTGACCTTCTCAAACACGCTACATCCACACGGCTCCTGCCACCCACTGCCATTTCCCTAGCTCCTTCTCTCCAAGATGGTGCAAGTCTTTCTCCCTCTATTCTTAACCACATTCTAATCAGAAATATCTCATCGTTATCACCCTTACCTTCCTGTTCCCCTATATCTTCGTACCTCTGCCCATTCTCTAGAATGCTCTCTCCTCACCTTAAACATCTGGAAAATGTCCACTCTTCTTTAAGTCTCAATTGAAAGCCATTTTCTACATGAAGTTTCCACTAACTCCCCACCCTCCCCACTCCTGCAGTTGGGTGCTCCTTCTCTCATGCCCGCAAAATTCTACACACACTTTTCCCTGACCAACGTCATCACACAATACACACCCCAGGTGGATTTTTTTTTTTTTTTAAACATATCTGTCAGTTCACTAGACTCTAAGCATTTAAGGGCTTTTTGCCTATATGTTCCGAGCACATTGGCCAATATGCAGCAGAGATGGGTGTTCAATAAATTCTCTGGATTAATTTATATGGAAGATTTCTGATATTCTTTCCCCAGGGCTCACCAGTTCAAGCAAGAATAGGATGAGGAAGTTATACACCCACTTGGCCCCCTCAGTTCTACAGCTCTATTCAATTAATTACTCTGTACAAATTCTCAAGGAAAACATGCTAAATGAGGCAACTGAATGGATCCTAAATATAGCCCTTACCTGCACAGCTCTTTAACAGTGCTCACATCAATTATCCTATAGTGAAGATGTTTCATGAACTGGGGCATGTATTTGTCAAGAAACTTCTTATCTGCATGAACTGAATTTCCTAGAAAGACACGAAGCATACCGCATCTGTGTATTTCTAGTGGTACACAAGAGGACATAAAAATTCATAGACTGTATTTAATTGGAGATGATTTTTTTTATAAATTCAAACAATTTGTAAAAGCATCTCAAAACTTCTAAATTAGGAGTGTATCTGATTAGATTACAAGTGCAGATTTCAGCATGTTTGGTCAGTTTAGCTCATAATAGATTTGTAAATGGCACTCTAGACAAAAGGATGAATCTATCATTCCACTTAAAGTAATGCTCAAATCTGTTACTTTTTAAGCTAATACCAGATGTGCAAATTTTCTCCCAGTATCATAAAATCCACACCACTAACACTAAAAATTTAACTGAATCATATAAGTAGATAAGCCTTTATTCAAATTTCAGTTTTACGCATATCCACATTCATGTTTTCACACAGTAATTTATATTTAAAAAAACACTAAATTTTTAATAAGAACTTTAAAATAGACTGCACTGGCTAGGGGGAAATTTTATACAATACATGCTCTAATACTTAAGGTCAAAATTTTTTATGAATACTTAAGAAAAGTGTTAGTAACTATACCAGTTTACATTTACAAATACACCACCACAGGACATTAACCTCCCTTTGACAATGACAATTGTTTCAAAATACAAACAGAACTGGCCTATTTCTTTAAAAAGTCAGTGTCACAAGGGGAAAAGACAGGTACATGTTTTTGATTAAGACTAAAGAGACAGAATAACCAAATGAAATGCATGAATGCATAAATCCTGGCTGAAAAACAGACATTTTAGATATGGACTCGATATCAGACTATGTTACTGAATTATTTTTAATCATCTTAAATGTGACAAGGATCTTGGGGTTACTTAAATGTAACAATGATCTTTTGGTCCTTATTCTTAGGAAATTCTGGGTGAATTATTTAGGAATTAAGTGTCATGATGCTTGCAATTTACATTCACAGGTCCACAAAAATCAGACAGATAAATATGGCACAAAATTAACAACTACTATATCCAACTTTCCTGTATATTTAAAATCTTCCCATAATAAAAATATGTGGGAAAATGTTATTGAGCTAATCTGGGTATCCCAGAGCTCATGTCAGGTTTCAGGGCATTTTCCCTGATATTCATGTATAAATTATACAAGGAAATTTGAGCACAAAAGTAAGAGGCATAATCCAAATCGGGGTAAGTGGAAGACATGACGATCTGGGTGGATCTTTCTGGAACCACAGTCTCTTGAACCGCTACAATGGAAGACTATCTACAAGGCAGACATAGGACTGGATTTTACCTGCGAGTGGACAGAGCCCTGGAGGAGTCTGCTGTCGTACAAAGGAGAGAAATTCATACTCTGCCTGCTGCAGTGTCATTGTACTCTCCTTTACTGCTTTGGTTAGACCAGACTGCAAGAGAGAATCCCCAGCCCCACCAAGACACACGAAGTCAGTTTTCAAAGGCATCCAGACATGAAATTCCACTTCTAAAGAGGGCAAATATCATCAGAGTTGGACCATTTGCAGACCTCAAGTTCAAACTGAAACTGCCATCTTTGCAGTGATTTTTTTTTTTTCCTTAAAGAATCCAAGTCAAATAAGTTATGTTCCTGATGGTTAATAGCATTTCCCCATGGTCAGAAAACATGGTGCTCAAGGTCCAAGGATAGAACCTCTGGGAAGAAACACCTAGTGAGAGGAGAGCAGTGTTCTCCTTTCTCTGAAAGTTGATGTCTAACCTTATCCAAAAGACTGACTTGAGCAATACTGGATAATCCGCAATGCACTTGTGACAGACTGAATGCAGGAGAGGCGAAACAGAGGACATTCAGGAGAAGATGGTCTCGAGAGATCCCAAAGATGAAAAGTGAACAAGCAAGCAGTTTCCCAGGCTTGCCAAGCAATCTTCGTCTATCCCTTTTAAAAATACCATCCAACAAGGGTCTAGGACTCAGATGTGGGGGCAACAAGCTTATTACTGATCCCCAAAGCGGCAATCCTACTATATGGTAATGTTACCTTCCCGTGATGCTCCTTACACCAGTCTGACATGCTGTCCAGTAACTCATCTGGCTGTTTTATAATCAGGTTAGGACCCTGTGGGTAGGAAAAGCTGTTAGTCATCCAGAATCACTGGGGATACACTTGGTTTCGGAGTTCAAGCTGCTTTAAGAAGTAAATATATATACCAGAGAAAGTAAAAAAGATGAGGGCACTTTGTTAACTCTAAAAGTGGTCCTCATTCACTCCAGCATTGTTTATGACAATAAAAAAAATAACCAATGCACATGTACACAACTAAAAACTGAAATGCCTATTAATGCCTGTTATACAGAGTAAGGTAAATCAGAAAGAGAAAAAGCAAATATTGTATGTTAATGCATACATGTGGGATCTAGAAAAATGGTAGTGATGAATCTACTTGCAGGGCAGGAATAGAGACACAGACATAGAGAACAGACCTCTGGACACAACAGGGGAAGGTGAGGGTGGGACGAATTCAGAGTAGTAGCACTGAAAAACCGTTACCATGTGTAAAGCGGATAGCTAGTGGGCAGTGCTGAATGACAAAGGGAGCTCAATCTGGTGCTCTTCACAGCCTACATGGGTGGGATGGGGCAGGGCGTGGGAGGCAGGTTCAAGAGGGAGCATATATACTTAGGGCTGATTAACATTGTTGTATGGCAGAGACCAACACAATATTGTAAAGCAATTATCCTCCAATTAAAAATAATATTTTTTCATTTATTTTTATCAGTTGGAGGATAATTACTTTACAATATTGTAGTGGGTTTTGACATGAATCAGCCATGGATTTACATGTATCCCACATCCCGATCCCCCCTCCCATAGATACCTATCAAGGTCGGCAAACTATAGCCTCAGCTTCTGGCACTTTTAATCGCTAGCAAGCTAACAACGATTTTTACATTTGTAAAGGGGGTTGTAAAACACACAAATATGTGACAGAGAGGTATGTGGTATCTAAGCCTAAAATATTTAATATTTGACATTTGATCTTTTTTAGAGAAGGCTTGCCAACCACTGATTATAAACAGTTCCTATCTTGCCAAGTAAAAAACAAAAAGCAAATTGAAGAACAGTATATATATGCTTAAGAGTTCACTTACACTTGTTTAAAAGAAAGGCACACATTTGTATATGCATACAAAATACTAAAATACTACAAAAATACAAAAACATCGGGGAGTTAAGATCAGGCAAGAGAAGAATAGCTGTTGAAAAAACCAACAGCTCACAATGCATATGTTTTGCATAAAGCTACACTGTTTAATTTTAACAGTATTTTCACATTTAACAGTTGAAAAAGTAATTGGTGGCATCTGAAAGATTTTTAAAAAAAAACAAAAACCTGACCCGGAAATTCTCAGCTCCAGTTAACTAAACAATCACCTGAGAGTGAGAGCTCCAGCAGACAGAAAAGCTCAACTCTTAAAGCAAGTCACCTCCCAGTCTCTCCTCCTGGGCGATGGAGATAACAAACCGCCCCTCCCCCTTCCCTCACAGGGATGTTACCAGGATAAAAGAAATTATAGATACGCATATTTGAACTGAGGGGGGATAAAAGACTCTAAATCCAAGGTATTAAGGTGGTAAAAGTAGTTTGCAGTTACTGAGAGGAATGGCAAGAATTTGACTAAAATAGGCCTGACAGCTACAAGGAGTTTTAGCCAAACAAGAAAACGGGTGATGGTAAGCTCCACAAAGAAGCAAAAATATGTGCTCTGATAACTTTTTTTTTTTTTTGAAGTACAGTGGATTTCCAGTGTTGTGTTAATTTCTGCTGTATGGCAGAGTGACTCAGTTATACATATGTCCTTGCCCATTCTGGTTTATCTCAGGACATTGAATATAGTTCCCTGTGCTATTCAGTAAGACCTTGTTTTTTGGTTGGTTTGTTGTTGTTGTTGTTGTGCTACACAACATGTGGGCTCTTAGTCCCCTGACTGGGGATCGAACCCACACCCCCACCACCCCACCCTGCACTGGAAGCAAGAAGTCTTAAGCACCAGGGTAGTCCCCAGGACCCTGTTTTGGTAACACTTTTTTTTTTTTTTAACAAAACCAAAAACCTCATATCACAAAACACAATTCTAAAAAACTATGATGGAAAAAGCCAACATCTATCAACTTAAGGCTATAGAACTTACTCTGAGCTACTTACAGAAAAATTTCTGGGGTGGGATGTCTGCTCTTCTAACATAAAACGTCTTCCCCAGACTTGTATACAAAAATAAAACATTTTCCACAGAACTGACACTTCAGTGCCAACAGGCCTGTAGCAATTTTTTTTTTTTTTAACATTCTTATCCTCATCCGACTGGGTCTATTTACAAATGCCACACTCATCTGCAGCTGTGAGACTACAGGCCCAAATTTCCTCCAGGGTACATATCAAGTAACTGGTCCATTAAACTGTCAGTATTTCACATTATATCAACAGTCTGAGGGGAAAACTCTTCTCCAGCCAAGGGTAAGAAAGGTTGGTGAATAAAGACACTTCTCTTCACTATTCATCTCTAGAAAATTCCAAGTGACAGGAAAAAACAACCAAACCTAAAACTCAAGATTTATATAAAGTTGCGGTGTTGGGAGAGGTGGGAGTGGCTGTTTATTTGTTTAAGAAAAAAAAAAAAAGAGGTAGTTGTTACTATGAGAAATACAAAGTATCATGATTCTCCCACAGCTGATATACCAGGATGTATATCTGAAGCATCAGGATGTCTGCCTGGTACTCCACAAAAGTAACAATTCATCTAAAATGGCTCTTCCTCCCTTACCTCACCAAGAAAATAAGTGGAAGTCTTAAGGTTAGATCTGTGGAATGTATCCAGTGCCAGTAACACATCAATCAGACGCGCAAACTTATTTTAACAAACCTGTGTTAGTTAAACTTGTGTTCCTACTCTGGAGTTCCTCACTGCCTCTAATTCAGCTGACAGTATGACGAAGGCCCGGAACTTCACCCTCTACCAATCAGATGCTGTCATATACTTATTAAATGCTTTGTGAGTGTCTGAAAGGCAACCGGAAACAGGTGTGTTTTATTTGTTTTGGTTAATGTTCAGTTAAAAGCAGCATGTTAAAACGTTTAACCATGCCCCTTATGTCAACAGGATAGCTCATGGCTCTGTATCAACAGAAATTCTAAAATCTTGTTAATGATCTAGATGAATCACATGCCCTGGTTGAAAAGGTAGATACTGGATATATGAAGTCGAGTTAAAGCTAAGGTTATGATACAAAGAAGTCAACTTTGGCATGAGTCACCGATCCTGGCGTGACTGTAGTTGGTTGTCTTACTGGTTGGAAGCCCTTTACTCAGACTACCTGGTTAAACTCTTGGCTTGCCCAATAACTAGCCAGGTAGCCTTGGGCAAATGACTCAACAACTCTGTACCAAAACTTCTCTCTCCATAAAATGAGTATAACAGTACTTACCTCATAGTTGCTGTAACGAGTAAGAGTGAATACATGTAAAGCACTTAGAATTGTGCCTGGCAGGCACTAAAGTAGTGAAGTGAAGTCGCTCAGTCATGTCTGATTCTTTGCGACCCCATGGACTGTAGCCTACCAGGCTCCTCCCTCCATGGGATTCTCCAGGCAAGCATGCTGGAGTGGGTTGCCATTTCCTTCTCCAGGGGATCTTCCTGACTCAGGGATCGAACCCAGGTCTCCTGCACTGCAGGCAGACGCTTTAACCTCTGAGCCACGAGGGAAGCCCCCGAATTTTTGCCATAACTATTGAAAAATACTAGACTCTGAGATGGATTACTTTGGTTCTAGTACCAAGCCCACCAGGACCTAGAATGTTATTTTGGACCTTAATCGATATCAGTTTTATTTTTTAAATAAAGAGATGAGGGGGGTGGGGAGAGACAATCTTTAGATTTCCAATACACTGTAAAAAGTATGGCTGTATTACAAGGCATCACCTACTTCAGCCAAAATGTTGAGATCAGAGTCAGTTATCAGACAGGCCATCTCAATAATCTGGTCCTTCTCAATGTCCAATCCTGTCATCTGCAATAAAAAATATATATATACACATACATACATATAGCAAAAAATATATATATACACACAAAACCATCTTTATAGCCTATTGCACCCAAGTTTATTTAATAGGACATCCCTCAAGCATATTTAACTTATATTCCACAGCCAGGATAGAAGAGACAATACTGCTCCTTCAGCAAGTCCTCAAGGCACTCAATATGGGCTGTTTATTCAATAACCATTTACCAAGGGCGGGCTACATGTCAGGCGTCACGGTCCTACTCTGGGGTATATGCAAAGTTAGCAAAATTGAGTGCTGACAGCAATTCAATTTTGGAAGAGTGAGACAACTAACTTCACTACACCTCTGCAGAGTTTACAAAGTTTTCATATTAATTACAGCACTTGACAGTCATCATAATCGAATGTTATTATCCCCGTTTCAAATAGGAGAAAACTGAGGCTCAAGGGAGAAGGGAACCTTTGGCTGAGTATGGAAAACCTAAAGGGATCAGAACTGGGCTGTAGTCCCAGCTTCGACCCTCACTAACTGCACGACCTTGAGCGGGCTGAATCCTCCCTCCCTCCCTCCTCTCTCTCTCTCTCTCTCTCTCTCTCTCTCTCTCTCTCTCTCTCTCTCTCTCTCTCTCTCTCTCTCTCTCTGGGCCTCAGTCTTCTCCTTTATGGAATGTGGGGCAAGGCTGAGTCATCTCCGAGTCCCATCTGGCTCTAACATGGTCCCGTGAGGCTAGGGAAGTGGGGTCTAGCGGAGCTGCTGTGTCCACCCCCTACCCCGGGGACCCGAAGCCCACCACCGTGTTAGGGAGCTCCACATCTGGGCGGAACTGGGGGTTAAGGGAAGCCATATAGCTGACACCTCCCTTTGGAAAAGAAACCCCACAGTCCGGCACAGTCTTCAACACCCGCAGGACTCCGGTCCCTCGACCTGCCTCGCGCAGCCCGCAGCCGGGAGGCGCTCACCTGCCACACCTGAGATCCAGACACCGCTGCTCTCCCCGGACACGCTCGGCTACTCGGTCCCACCCGAGAAAACTCACTCGTCTCCCCTCTCCCCCTGACCGACCTGACTCACCTCCAAGTCCACCCAGACCATCCGCTGAGCCATGCTCTCCCCCGCCGCCATGGCTGCGCCACCTTCGCGGACACCCCGCGCCCCGAACTGCCCGCGAGTCCCACCCACACCTCGCAACAGCCTGGAGCCCAGGGAGCCGCCTAGCATCACCCGGCACAAGCCGCCACGGCCCCAGCCTCTCAGCCGGCGCTGGCGCAGGCGCGATAGTCGCTAAACGTCGCAAACCCGCGGGGAGGCGCAGGAGTGAAAACTACAAGTCCCAGCAGCCAGTGCACCGACTCTCCCTGAGTAGTCCGGCTTAGCTGCCACATGGGCTGATGGGACTTAGAGTCTTGCATGCTGTTGCGCCCGATTGCCCCGCCCCCGCCACGTGTTTTCGGATGTTACTGGACGCGCATGTTTTTCAGAACTAAGTTTATTCTTTTCCAAGAGTTATTTCCTGAATTTGGATGAGTTGCAAATCGCCTAGCTGAGAAAGAGCTCTCTTACTTTAACTCGAAAAAGACCTGGTTACTTATTTCAAATGTATCCTTCTTTTTTTTTTTTTTTTGCTGTTTTTCCCCCCTTATTTTTTTACTTACCTGTCACTCCACACACTTTCTTATTTACATGCGACAGCCGAGCGGTGTGCTTTTTAAGCCGGAAGACCATCTCCACCTTTAGAAATCTTTAAATGAGATCTTATCTGAGTGATCACTTACCATGTTTTGGGTGCCGAATAAAATACTTTTCCTTCATTGGCAAAGGGTTACTCCTTATTCCTTACGGAGGGCCTGACTTGCCGCCGTGGTCTGTGTTTCAGTTCACCTGTTAGATGTCAGTAGTAATGACTTCCTACTCCACCCTTACAAGTTCTCGTAGTTAAATATTGTGCTTGTATCTGTGCAGCAAATTAAAATGAACTAAAACCAGCTTTGCCCACTCTGCAATCTGCTTTGCTTTTGATCAAAGTTTTTAATCTCCTCCATTAACAGCTATAGTTTCCATTATTTCCATGAGTAGAGGTGGCCCCCAAAAGGATTTTTCGACCGTGGAGTGTCAAATTGCATGAATCTCTTAAACCTTTGGCTATTCAGTAACAAGTTGGAGTGCTGAGTACGACTTTGTCACAAACATTGGTCTAGGCCTGGAATTATATCTTCTGTATATTTTTCTGAAAGCCATATTGGCTCTAATTACAGAGTTGGTGGTTCATAGCACAGTAATTCATACCCGGTGAGCTGGTTTTGTGAGAGAGAAGACATGTTGCCTAAGAAGAGCAAACAGTATAACATAGTGTCCTGGATTTCACCTTCAAGTTCTCTGTATAGCCAACCCACCACCTGCCAGGGCACCCCAAAAATCTCTTCAAAAGATCATCAAATCATGTGCAGGTCGTGTGTGTATGTGTGTGTGTGTGTGTGTGTGTGTGTGTGTGTGTGTGTATTCTAATAATGAGTCACATTGTTTTCCTGTAGCTTTTTACTCAGTTGTAGCTTACTTTATGGAGAAGGCAATGGCACCCCACTCCAGTACTCTTGCCTGGAAAATCCCATGGACGGAGGAGCCTGGTAGACTACAGTCCATGGGGTCGCTAAGAATCAGGCACGACTGAGCAACTTCACTTTGACTTTTCACTTTCATGCACTGGAGAAGGAAATGGCAACCCACTCCAGTCTTCTAGCTTGGAGAATCCCAGGGATAGAGGAGCCTAGTGGGCTGCCGTCTATGGGGTTGCACAGAGTTGGACACGACTGAAGTGACTTAGCAGCAGGAGCCTACTTTATAAGAAAGACTGTACAAAAAAGTAAAAACTTTTTTAAAAAATTTTTTTAAGAAAAAGTCTACATTTCTTCTTTAGTTTTTACTTAATTTTAAACTTGATTCATAGAAAGTAGAATCAGGTGAAGTATGTAAACTTTTATCAATTGCAGGTTTTATCCTCCTGAAGTATTATTTATATCCTTAAATTTTCAAAGATCACCTTTTGTTTTCAAATTTCCTACTTTAACATTGATCAGTTTTGTTACAAATCACAGCTTAAGAAATGCTATTCACATTTAAGAACTTGTATCCTGAAAATTTATGATCATAATCTTAAAACATTGGGTAGTTAAAATTATGTGTGGACATTTTTGAAACTTCAGTTTTCATAGAAATGTACTTTCATTATAACAATAAAGACACATTTTAGATGATTGGTATTATAATATAAGGAAATTTATAGTTTATTGGGTTTTGTGTGTAATAAAATTAGATTGTAATTGAAAAGGTTAATATCTCAAAGCAAAACAATGCATGCACCAAATTCACAAATCCAATCCATGTAAATAAGTAGGAGGGCAGGGAGTTCCCTGGTGCTCTAGAGGTTAGGATTTTGGGCTCTCACTGTTGTGGTCGATCCTTGGTCAGGGAATTGAAATCCCACAAGCTGTGTGCCCCCCCCCCAAAAAAAGAGGGAGGGCAGACAGAAGAATATTGGGCCCTTGAATCTGAAATCAGCCTTGCCCCACAGTGGACTCAATCATTTCATTCCATTTTCATTTCATAACAATTTATCTCAAAGCCATACCACTCTGTTCAGAGATTATGCTTTTTCACTTCTGTCATGAACTTGTAAGAACTGCTTTTGTTGTGTTGTTGTTAAGTTGCTAAAGTGAAAGTGAAAGTCACACAGTCGCGCCCAACCCTTTGTGACCCCATGGACTATACAGTCTATGGAATTCTCCAGGCCAGAACACTGGAGTGGGTAGTTGTTCCTTCTCTAGGGGATCTTCCCGACCCAGGGATCGAACCCAGGTCTCCTGCATTGCGGGCGGATTCTTTACCAGCTGGGACACCAGGGAAGCCCAGGAATACTGGAGTGGGTAGCCTACCCTTCTCCAGGGGACCTTCCCAACCCAGGAATCAAACGGGGGTCTCCTGCATTGCAGGTGGGGTTGATTCTTTACCAGGTACCAGGTAAGCCCTTTGCAACTTCATCTACTATAGCCTGCCAGGCTCCTCTGTCCATGGGATTTCTCAGGCAAGAATCCTGGAGTGAGTTGCCTTTTTCTTCTCTAGAGGTTCTTCCTAACCCAGGAATTGAACCCACATCTCCTGTGTCTCCTGCATTGCAGGTAGATTTTTTACAGCTGTGCCACCAGGGAAGCCCGCTTTTGTTAATTAACAAGAGTAAAATGCCAAGAAAGCTCGTTCTCTAGAATCATAGACCATGAGAAACTTTGCTGTTTGAAGTAATTTCAGAGAGAATGTAACAGCTCCTCTTAAAGAATCTGGGCCATGTGCGTCACTTTGACACAGAGTAACTGCCTCAATTTTCAATGCAGGGGCAGAGATTCAGATAAGAGTTTTCCAGATGCAGCATTCCACATTTATCTTAACTTTGTAGTTTCTAAAGAAACAGGACCTGAGTCAGCTTTTCAACAATGCTGGTAGTCAGGCTGTAATGTTCCCGTCCCTCTGGGCTTAAGGTCACAAGGGCAGGAGTAGGCACAGTGACTGTTCTAGACCCCACTTCCCCAGCCTCAAGAGGCCCTAGGTGGTTTGAGTTAGAGGGGACTCTGGCAGTCACTCACCCTTACCCCACACTCCATAAAGGAGAAAACTGAAGGCCAGAGAGAGAGGGGGGATTCAACTCACTCAAGGTCGTGCTCTGTTAGTAAGGGTCTGAGTTTGGACTACAACCTACTTCTGATCTAACAGGACATGGCCAAGACTGCACCAACCCTCTCCTCACTTAAAGATCACTACTTCATTTTCAATTGTTTTTTTATCTTCATTTTTTTCAGTTGTGGTAAAATATCATTAAATTTCCCACTTTAACCACTTTTAAGTCTGCAGTTCAGTGGCATTAAATCCATTCATACTGTTATGCCACCATCACCACCATCCATCTCCAGAACTTTTTCATCTTCTCAAACTGAAAATTCCATACCATCAAGTACTAATTCCCTGTTTTCACCCACACCCTTCTCAGCATGAGGTCACCGCTGTTTTACTTTCTGTCTCTATTAATTTGACCATTCTAGGTACCTCATATAAGTGGAATCATACAGTATTTGTCCTTTTGTGTCTGGCATTTATCACTTAATGTCCTCAAAATCCATCCAAGTTGTAGCATGTGTCAGAATGTCTTTCCTTTTTAAGGCCAAACAGTATTCTGCTGTATGTATTTACATCTTATTTATCCATTCACCAGTCAATGGACACTTAGGTTGCTTTTGCCCTTTGGATACTATGAATATTTACATGGATTTTTTTTGTCTTTATTGCTGCTTTCTTACCAGGACTTCCGAAGCCCTGCTTTGATCTTCTCACCTGCTAAGTAGAGCTTGCTGTGATAATCAATCCAAAGGTAATCCCTACTTCTCCTGGTTCTTATTTAGAATTATCCAGACCCTATTTTTAAAAAGGGCTTCCATACTCCGTCTGAGAGACCCCTAGTTCCTCGTGTTAATTGTTACAGCAAGTTCATAAACCTAACATTGTTACAGTTATGTCTCAGTGAGCTTTATCTGATATGCTTTATCACTATCCTATTTATGTTGAGTTTAATTTCCAGAATGCAATAACTTTTTTTTTGTGCAGGACTAGCACAGAGCCATATAGTAATGGTAGTAATACTAGTTAATAGTCACCAAAGTAATGTGGCCACCTCACAGCTGTAAATTGTCCTACTGTTCATAAAGCATTTTAAAATAGGCAGTAGATGCCTCATGAATAACTGTTTGGTGATAATATCTCTTATTTTCCTGCCTCGTGATACCTTGTCTTGAGAAATGTCGATGTCAGGTTTACTGCTGATAACAGAAAAACTGCTGTTTATTTCCCTCTAGTGATTTTTGGGAGGAATAAAGGATGATAAACCTTTTGCCTTTTACACTCTACCACTGTAAAAAAAAAATTCAAGCCAAATATAATCTTGTATAAAATGGACACGCTATAGGTTTTCATGAAATTTGATTTGCATCTTATCTCACTTTAGTCCAAGAAACTTGTATGACACTTGATACTTAATAGTGACTACTTAGTATGTATCAAACAACTGTCTTAGAATGCCAAAGGAAAAATATATTTGTTAAGCTGAAATTATACCAGGCACTGGAAGTATTTAAAATACTGATGGTTCATTTTAGGTTTAGAGTTTATTTTTTTGTTTGTTTGTT